CCGCTGCCAAACACACGGGCGCAGGGATGATCAGTGAGCATCAAAAACAACGTGTGTGTGTGTGTGTGTATGTGTGTGTGTGTGTGTGTGTGTCGCAGAGCACATGCGGGAGCCACTCACGTCGTTTCCGTTAACAGCGGCCTCCAAACAAAGCTTTGATGCAGCATGCACAATCTGCTTCCCAGATCGCTTCCACTCCTGGTTGCCTGTTGCCAACAACGAAACCCCAACACGCATGTGTTAGGGAACGCCACTCTCTCACCCAAACGTACATGCACATGTGCAAACTCGTACACACACACACACAGACACACACACACACAGACACACAGACACACAGACTGACCTTTCATGAGGTGGCAGCCGTACATGCTGAGCGTGCTGCCTGGCTTACCGCCAGCGAAGTCAAGACATCTGCAAGCCATGCAGTGATGGTGGCGGCATGAGACTGGGGAAGCAGGAGCATCGAAGCAGGTGTAACAACTTCCAAGATGGCGCAACATTCGATTAGGAGTTGTGTTGTGGTGAGGGCACACACACACACACACGAACGCATGAACACATGAACACGCGACACAAACGCACCTGGCACCAAACGTTCCCTCACGCCTGATTTCCCCGTATTTCGTGGTGAAGTAGAACATCTGATTCTCGCTCTTCCCATTCGCACACGGATAGAGACCTGCAGCAAGGTATGTCGTTGGTGGCGAGTGGTGTGTTGGGTGAGGGCAGTTGAGTGTATGCACATTAACGAAGGCTGCATCCCAGTGGCACCAAGACACGCACACACACACACACTCTCTCTCTCACACATACACACACACTCACGCACACACACACACTCTCTCTCTCACACACACACACACTTGCAGCAAGGACACGGGTGGCGTACCAGCCTTCATGTCGACCTCCCTTGAGGAGAGGGAGTCAAGACACATGTTGGTGGCGGCGTTCTTGACGGCGCCTTTGCCCAACAAATTCTCGGGCAGCGGTACCATCATGTCGGGAAACACGTTGTCGAGGTACCTGCATCAACACAGTGGCGGAGTGACCGGGTGAGGAGGAGTGCGACACAAGGACACAATGCATGTGACAAATGTCAAAGAGGGCGAATGCTATCATCTGATTGCATGGTGCGCAAACGTACCCACACAGACACACACACACACACACGCACAGACACACACAGACACACGCGCGTGCGTTCCCAGACGCACCATTTGAACGGCTTGCAGTTGAGTTTCTTCCTCAGCTCCAGGCGGTCTGAGATGTCGCCTGTGCCGATGGCGCGGTGGTGGGGGCGCACGCCGTAGTACAGCTCCTTGTACTCGTCCATCCACACCTCAGCCACCCGGTTCAGGTTCTTGTTGATCGTCTGCACAGCGCCCGAGGGGAACTTGTACGGGTGGAAATCGCGATAGACGTGGCCCACGCGCGAGCACGGGATGAACTCGAGCGTCCCCTGCAGCCACACGGCAGGAGACAGAACACAGAACACAGCAGGCATACAGACACAGGTAGTTGTGAGAGCAGGTGTGAATACGAGTATGTCGGAAAGCGAGTGTGTGTGTGTACCTCTGCGCACATGTGCAGGACGCAAACAGCAACACCAACCCCTTCCCACGCACCCACCCACGCACCCGCGCACCCACCCACACACACACACACACACACACACACACACACACACACACACACACACACACACACACACACACACACACACACACACACACACACACACACACACACACACACACACCCACCCACACGCACCCACACACCAACACACACACACACACACACAACACGACATGCCATGGCACAAGGCAAACAGAACCCAGTAAACTCACGCCGCACTGCCAGATCCTGAAGGAGATTTCGAGGTTTTCACCGCCCCACACGTCCATGCCCATATCGTAGGATCCAATCTCAAAGAAGTACTCGCGGTCCATCGAGAACAGCCCACCAGCCATCGTTGGTGACGGCAGCTGAAGACGCAGATGTGCATGGTGTGTGTGTGTGTGTGTGTGTGTGTGTGTGTGAATAAGGAGGGGTGATGATGTGACCTGGCCCAAGCGCAACACACGAACACAGCAGCACCAACACAGCAGCACCAACACAGCAGCACATGAACACAGCAGCACATCATGAGGGGAAAACGCACTGGAGCGATTGGGTCCTTGCGCTTCTTCTGCTCAAACCACGGCAGGCTGTTAACACACACACACACATGAAAGGAGACACGTGGCGGCAATGATGAGAATGGGACGCAGACACACAGCAGGTGGTAAAAACCAGACGCATATCAAGACGAGTGCGTCGCAATATAAGTACGTATCAATATCAGTACGTGTCAATACTAGCGGGTGCACCATGGCGTGTGCAACTCACTCGAGCCAGGAGAATGTGAGGGACCAGGTGAAGATGCCGCGAGTAATGACAGTCGGGCTCCCAGTGTACGCAAACGTTTTCTAGTGGCCGGGGTGGCGCAATGGCAAGATGGCCAGAACGTGTTGGTCCTGGGTACACGAAAACACACAAACACGTGCGCATGCATGCACACACACATACACACACACAGAGGCACGCGCATGCATGCACACACACACGTGCACACACACACGTGTACACACACACACACACACACATGCATTCACACAAGTGCACAGACCTTGTCGATGTTGTCAATGACTGGCGTGACAACGGTGGTGCGGTCGAGGTAGATGCGCTCCAACAGCGGCTCCAGCCAGCCAACATTGCACTCGCAGTGGCTGCAGTGTTTCACACGCACGCATGCACACATGCACGCACACACACGTATCAGTCCGTGGTGGTGATGGAGTGATGCATGGCGGTGGAGATGTTGCTGGTGCACAAGCACCACAAGAGCAAAAGCAAACAGCAACGCCACACCAGCACACCACCAGTCAGCAGTACTGCGCACCTGTCGAGAAAGGTGACCACCTTTCCCTTTGCTTGCTCGGCGCCAAACACCTTTGCACGGATGAGGCCCGACCGCTCGCTCAACCGCAGCACGCGCGTCTTCGGGATCGTCGCCAGCTATCGTGTAGGAGTGCAGTACAGTGTGAGAATGATTGTGTGTGCGTGATTGTGTGCATGCGATTGTCTATGTGTGTGTGTGTGTGCGATTGTGTGTGCGTGTATGTGTGTGTGCTGCACGCTACCAGCGCCACGCCCCTCCTCCCATTTATCCCCTCCTGCGCGTGAGATGCGCGTACCTCCTCGTCCAGCGGCGCTTTGAGGTGCTCCATCGTACTCGCGTCGTCAATCAGCAGAATCTGTCAACAGGGATACAGGGGTTGGGAAGACACGTGTTGTGCAGCAGTGATGAGGAGCCGATGTGGTGCGCACACACGCAAACACATTACCGCACGTGCATAGATTCGCACACACACGCGCGCGCGCGCAAACAACATCGCCACCACTACCACCACCACTACCACCAGCATGCGAGCGACCTCGTTGATGAGGCTTGGCGGGGAGCGGTCGAGAATGGACCAGACGGTGCGGAGAAGTGTGGTGCGCGCTTCGTTATGGAACGGAATGATCACCGTCGTGTCGGGCAGTTTGTCCAGTGGATATGTGCGGTCCTTGCACATGGCGTGACGCGTGTCCTTGATCGGCCGATGCTACACCACACACATACACGTGCGTGATCATGCAGCGGATGAAGGAGAGACAAAAAGTGGCGAGTGTGTGTGTGTGAGGGCCAAGAGAACATGGAATACATTGTGTTGCCTGAAAATGAGGTCGATGTTGCATTCCATCACACACACACACACACACACACACACACACACACACACACACACACACACACACACACACACACACACACACATTCACATCCGCAGTGCGGGGTGCCGCACCAAGGAAATGCGATCGCTAATGTATTGGTTGAAGTTGTTGCGCTTCCACCCTTCATCTTGCTCCTGCTTGACTTCCTCCTCGGATTGCTTCTGCATGGACATGACGACATGGGCACAGCACACACCGGCGTGAGCGCACGCGCAGGTGCAAGTCCACTTGAACTGAGTTGCACGGATGGGACCTCGAGCGGCATGTACACACACAACCACACATACACACACATATTCACGCACCCACATATTCACACACACACACCCGTTCACGCACCAGAGTGGAGAGGTAAAGCTCCCTATCAACCGTGGAAGATTTGTGCTCCCTAGCCTGATCCAGTAACCGTTCACTCTGGTCATAGCAGCACAGGAGAATAGAGTGTTCTTAATCAGTCGCCAGCTCACCGCAGGACACAGAGCGCACCACTCAGCGTGAAGTGCAAGCACAGCCACAGATCACATCCCACATGCAGCTTGCATGAAAAAGCTCACCTCCTCCATCTGCTCCTGCAGTTGCTGCTGCACTTGCTGATCGTGAGGATCGTTGCCCAGCGGCAGCACCCTTCTCGGTGGCGGAGGCTTCCATGGCGGCGCCTCCGTCGCCCTGTAGCCACAAAAGCACGCACCAACAGTCATCATGAATGATCCCAACCTGCACAAACGAGAAACCTGCAAAGACGAGCCAACTGGACACGCGACCAGGCTGGACACGCGACCAAGCTCAGTCACGTCCAGGTGCACTCGTCCTCAAAGCACAGTGGGGGACACGGAAGCAGGCAACGTACGGTTCTCGCTTCACGGACGCCACGTGAGCCAGGAAGAGGAGCACCGCAACGCCAATCACAATGTCTGTGGGGCGCGTGCGCCGACACAACGCCCACAGCCGAGACACCACTAGCAAAAGCGTTGAAAGCGAGGGCCGAGACCAAACAAGCAGTGCAACTCGTGAGATTGGTGGGCGAGACTGAAAGGTGATTGTTCACTGAGAGTGGTCCAAGTGCTGCTGCCTCACCATGACAGATCTTGGACAAGACCACACACGCACACACACGCATCCACACACACGCACACTGCTCTCCTTTTCCGTGTTGCTGACAACCTTATGTATCCAGCTCTCCCTCACACACACACATGGTCTCCTTATCTCCCTCTCGCCTCCTCCTTCCTTCCCAATCTCCACGCCGCCCTCTTGTTCCCATCCACGCACACGAGCACGCATGTGGACGCAGGCACCAACCCACCTCGCATCCTCTGTTGTTGTTTGTTTGCTTTGGCAGTGGTGGCAGTTGTGGAATGGCAACTTTGACGTTGGCAGAAAGGCAAATTTGACGTTGCCCTGTCCTCCACAAAAACGACAGCAACTGCTGACGCTGGAAAGTTGGTGAGTGGCAAGTTGAAGTTGTGGTGTGCTGCTGATGGAGAGCGCGACGATGCGTTGGTTGTGTGCTGTGCCTTGGCTTGCTTGGCTTGCTTGGATGCATGAATGAATGAGCGGATGACGGAACGACCTTGGAATTCCACTCAACTCTTGTGTTTCGATGCATGCGCGAACGAACACATACGTGGACCTGCTCTCTTCCCTTTTTCGCTTGTGCAGGACGACCAGGCAGTGAATAAAAAAAATGAGCAACAGTCCGCGCAGCGTTGCTGCAGTTGTCCTGGCAGCAGTGCTTTTGGCTGTGTCGTGTGGATTCGCAGCTGCAACTGCACCCACAACTTCCTCACATCAACGCCTTGCTTCCTTGAAACGGTGAGCAGCAACGTTGTCGTCGTCAACCACTCCTCTACATGCGTGATGCGAATCCCCGCCAGTGTGGGATGTTGTTGTGTGTCATACGACTTCATGGCCATGCACGAGTCCTTATGAAATACACTCACATGCACACATACCCGCACACATACACATATACACACTCACATGCACACCATGCACTTGCGTATGTTGGCCGCTTGCAGCCGTCACGAGCCAGTGTACGACCAGGTGACCTCCCTTGCGGACAAGCCACAAGGAGTCACATCTGACGATGTCCACGCCAGCCTGTTCTCCCACAAACGCAATCTGCTCACGGGCGACACCGCTATCGATGCGCGCCGCACTGCCAGCGTGCCCACGGGTGCACAGCAGCGCTCTGCGCAAAACGAGCAACCACAACGCCGTCAGCGCCGTGCCGCTGCCAGCGATGACCGGTGCGGGTCAAAGTCCGACGACGTGGCGTTGGATGCCAGCAAGATCAGCGTGGCAACGCACAGCTTCCCCAGCGACGCAACCGAGATTTCCTTCCTGTGGGTCGGCCAACCCCGCGGCGTAAGTCTTCGACCGCAGTTGCGATGCAGGGTATCTGGGTGTGTGTTGTTTTGCCTAGCTTGCTTGCTAACTTGCTTGCCAACTTGCTTTCCAGCTTGAATTCTCACTGCTAACATGCGTCCCGCTGCTTGTTCACTGTTTCTGCATGCGTGTTTAGGAGATTGTGGCGCTGGTGACGCGTGAGTTGCAGCGGCAGGAGCCGAACGTGTACTGTAGCAGCGACTATGGCCGCAACTACACCCTCTGCCCGGGCATCAAGTGGCCCGTCGTCGAGCTCCACCGCGTCGAGACCCTTGACGCAATCTGGGTTGGTCGCACACACCCCGCGCACGTGCATCTGTACACGCACACACCACGCACACACACACACACACACACACACACACACACACACACACACACACACACACACACACACACACACACACATCGCACGCACATCCCACACACGCACACACACATCGCACGCACATCCCACACACACGCACACACACGCACACACACACACGCACACACACACACACGTCCATGCTTCACTGGCGGGTTCATGCTCTTCTTCGCCTGGCTGCTGTTATGTGCGCACACTCACGTGTCATCCACTGACACATCCAACCCACTGATAAATCCACACGTGCATGCGTTCGATGCTGCATCAGGTGTATGCGTTGCCGTCGCCGAGCGAGTCGCAGTACTTCTCCAAAGACGACTACCGCAAGTCCGCTGGCTTCTACCTGTCCACGGATAACGGGCGCACGTTCACGTTTAAACCGCTTGACATGCACATGCACCGCATCTTGCCAAACCCGACAAACGCACACGAGATGCTCGGATTCGTCCCAGATGACGTCAGTTGAGGAGAGAGGCGAGCAGGAGCGGTGTGTGTGTGTGTGTGTGTGTGTGTGTGTGTTTGTGTGTGTGTGTGTGTGTGTGCGCGCGCGCGCACATATGTGTGCCCTGCGTGTCGTTTTGCGTGTGTGTCCGTGTCTATGTGCACGTGTGCGTGCCCGCGTTTGTGTCTCTCGTTTTGTGTCTTCCTGAATTCTGTCTGCCTGTCTATCCGGCGGCCTGCCTGCCCTTTGACTGCGTTTCCTTCCGTCGCATGCCGCTCACGCCTGCGCATGCCTACACAGGACCACTCGGACTACGAGGTGGACGACCTGTACCACCTGTCTGAATACGGCAGCGAGCAGGCGCAGCTGCTGCGCATCAGCGAGCACGTCTTCTATGCCGACTGGGCACAGGAAAATGCAGCGGGGGTGAGCTGTTGTTGATTGATGAGGAATGAATGCATGCATGCTGCTGCTGCTGTTGTTGTTGTTGTTCTTCTTCTTCTTGCTGTTGTTGGTCTTGCTCTTGTGCGTGTTGTTGCTCTTGTTCTTCTCGTTTTTCTTCTCTTCTCACTCTTCTTGTTCTTCTTGTTGCTGCCGTTTTCCGCCATTCTCTCCTCTTTCGTTTCTTCTTCTGCTCACTCATGTCCGTGTCACATTTGCTGTCCCTTCAACACCCGTGTTCCCTCCCCTTCCCATCCAATTCCCTGCCATGCCAACCCCATGTGTGTGTGTGCACCAGAACGACGATGATGTGCTGATGACGGTGTATCGTGCCGAGCCGGGCGAGGTGGTTCCACTCGACCTCGTCCGCATGCACCGTCCGGGCACGCGGGATGCAAAGACATCCATGCTCAGGAAGAACTGCTACGACTTTGAACAGGTGTGTGAGTGTCTGCCTATGCGTCTGTGTGTGTCTGTGTCTGTGTGTGTCTGTGTGTCTGTGTGTCTGTGTCTGTGTGTATTCGTGCGTATCTCCGCCTGTGCGTGGCTGTACCGGTGTCTGTTCCATCTGTGTGCGTAAATTGCGATCAAGACAGCAGTCGCGGTCTTCCCACCAGACCACGCCGTGCTTTGCCTTGTCATTCCTTCCCTGCACTGACCAACCCCTCCTCCTTTCCACACCCCCCCCTTCATCTCCCATTGCCACCCAATGCTGCCAGGCTGCCGAGTTCCTGTTCGCCACGGAGGTCCCGTCGAGCGATGGGTTTGACGAGCGCCGGCTGTTTGTGTCCAAGGACAACGGCGACACATTCACGGCCGCTGTGTTCCCCTTTGATGCGCGGCACAACCACTTCAAGATTGTCGATGCGACGGAGGGCGTTGTCTTTGCGCTCGTCCAGCACACCCTCACCCGCACTGAAGGTGTGATGTGCTGCGCTGCGCTGTGGTGGTTCCTCCTGTTGGAGCAGTGGAACGTGCGGTTCTGCTCATTGCCGATGGCTTTGCATCGCTTTTGCTCACACACACACACACACACACACACACACACACACACACACACACACACACACACACACACACACACTCCGCGCGTTATCAGGCGACACGTTTGTGTTCCGAGTTGACTCGCCGCCAGAGATTGCGGGGAATTTCAGCGCAACAAAGGGGCTGTTCACCCCAGCACTCACCGGCAACGTGCTGTCAGGCACCCTCTTCATTGAGAAGCAGAACCCACTTGGTACAGCATGCTTCTTGCGGGTTTGCAGCGTGCAATGTCTTGCTTAAAACGGCGCTTCGCCATTCCCTGACCATCATCATCATCATCTTCTTCTTCTTCTTCTTCATCATCATCTTCTTCTTCTTCATCATCATCATCATCATCATCATCATCATCATCATCATCATCATCATCAGGGTGCTCTGACCGTGGAGGCGTGAGTCCTGAAGCCAAGGGCCGCATTGCTGTTGTGCAGCGCGGCGAGTGCAAATTCACAGAGAAGGTGCGACGTGCTTGCCCATCGCGTGGTGCTGGGATGAAAGGGCGGTCTGGGGCACATGTGCATGCACTCCTTGAGGTTGCTTCACTCATCTACTCACCCACCAGCCTGCACACTCACTCACTCACTCACTCACTCACTCACTCACTCACTCACTCACTCACTCACTCACTCACTCACTCACTCACTCACTCACTCACTCACTCACTCACTCACTCACTCACGCACCACCCCGCACACTCATAAACCGACACACATCCGTGTGCAGACGCTGAATGCGCAAGCAGCTGGCGCGATCGGGATTGTGATTGTGAACGATGCAGACACACTCGACTTCCGGATGGCGGGAGAGGAGGGTCTTGAGTTGGACATCCCCGCGTTCATGGTGCAGAAGTCGACAGGCGCCACGCTCGAAGACACATTCGGTATGGACGACTTGCCTGATTACTGGAATGGCGAGTGTGCGTGTGTTGTGTGTGTGTGTGTGTGTTGTGTGTGTTGTGTTCTGTGTGTGTGTGTTTGCTGTATCTGCTAGTTGTTGTCATCGTCGTCGTCGTCGTCGAGGCCACTTGCCTTTTGAGTGCAGTGGATGCGATTGACCGTTGCGGGTGCACGCATACGCACCAGGAATGGTTAACAGCTCAGCTGTGCCCCCTGCTGCCCCACTTCCTGCTCACACTGTGTGCGCGTGCCTTGCGTTTCCATGACAGACAAGAACGGGGTTGACATTATCGCTTCGCTGATCGAAGACAACATCCAGGAGCAAGAGATTATGCAAACGAGCAACCTCTTTGTCTCCGTACGATCCGATCGTTGTGGATGTTGCCCAAAGTGCTTGATGGATGATGCGGTTGCACGTTGCGCGACGGTCATTTCTCCCCCGGAGGGGGGGGGAGGCTTTAACAGCCCTTCCTGCCCTAACTTCCAACAGCAATCACAGCAAACAGTCACCACAATCAATCACCACAACCTCATTCTGTTGCTCGTGTGTTGATGCCAGGACGCGAGTGGTATTGACTTTACTCTCTCCCTGCAAGATGTAGCCTACCTCCCTTACTTCTCCAGCACAGGCACCGAGGTCTGTTGCCAAGAGCACGCGCACATGTGATGTGCCACACTGTTTCACATTCACTTCCTCACTCATCACACCAAGTTCAGCCTCAGCTCCTGTTCGCACCACTATACCACGACGATGCAACGCTTGCTTCCCACTTCTCACCCAAACCCATCCACCGCCGCCCCACACCGTGTGCAGGTTGCTGACGTGCACAAGGTAGCGAGCCAGCCCGGCACGTATCTTGCGACGTGGCTGAAGAACGACCGGATGGAGACGGTCATCACATTCAACAAGGGCGCGTCGTGGTCCCACATCCCGCCGCCACACGGCGCTCGGTTCGTCATGCAAGGCAGATTTAGGAGGGGGGGGTGAGGTGGTGCAGGGTGAGAGAGAGAGAGAGAGATTGTGTGTGTGTGTGTGTGTGTGTGTGTGTATGTGTGTGTGTGTGTTTGTGTGTGTGCTCTGAGGGGAAGGGCGTAGGGTAGAATGGACTCTGCACCCAGACACAGCCATGGTGCTCTCGCTCACCACCTCAACGGCTGTCGCCTGTGCAGGTGCGAGGACGATGATGAGGCCGCGTGCCAGCTGCACATTGCGCTCGATGCCGCTCGTGCCATCATGGATCTCCCACTCCCCATGTCGACACCAACCGCCTCAGGCATCATTCTCGCTAACGGGTACAAGGAGACGAATGAATGTGTGTGTGTGTGTGTGTGTGTGTGTGTGTGTGTGTGTGTGTGTGTGTGTGTGTGTGTGTGTGTGTGTGTGTGTGTGCAGTTATGTTTTGCGAGCTTGCCACTCATACATCTCTCTCGGCCTACGTTCGGTCCTTCTTGCCGCTCACAACACGACATGCATATGCGTAACCCCCCCCCCCCCGCCTTGCCTCCCTTGCGTGCCTCCAGGTTTGCCGGGGAGAGCATGACTTTTGCATCTTCAGAAGCGAACCTCTACCTTTCGTCCGATGGTGGCCTCACCTGGTCCCTCGTGAGTCTGTACACCCCCCCCCCCCGCAGACGCATACAAACATCCGCACGCACATGAAATTGCAGACTGTCTCACACACACATACACACACATGTGCTCACACGTGCATGCGCTCACAGCGTTCTGCGTTGTCATCTCACCTCATCCGTTTCGATCCTGGTTTGCTTGCATGCACGGGTTATCAGGCTGCGGAAACGCCCCACGAGTACCAGATCCTCGACCACGGCGGCGTGCTTGTTGCCGTTCCTTACTTCCAGACCACAGACTCGATCCTGTACGCACATTCTAGCACACGCACACATACGTACTTGTGTGTAGGGCGTGGCTTTCTTGCCAATGCCACGTCACTTGGTGATCTCACGCATGTGCGATGGCTTGGTCAGGTACTCTGTTGATCGCGGCACCACGGACTGGGAGACGAAGAAGATTGCCCGCGAAGACAGTATGTCCTTTTTGGCGTCACCCTCCAGCATCCACCACACACACACACGCACACGCACACGCACACGCATGCATGAGTCTTCCCTTCCTGTCCCACCAGACCCCAACCTCTCACATCACCATCGCACCACCACTACCTGTTACCCACAGCAATCTTGCAGATGACGGCTGAGACGGGCGGGGGCACGCTCGTCGTGTATGCGTACTACTACGACATTGAGTGGCGGGGTGCTGCCGTCGACTTTGAGCCGCTCCTCGGCCGCCCATGTACGCACCTGCTGCGTACGCATCTGTTGGCGATGATGTTGATGGTTTGGCGCGAGTGTGGTGTGGGATCAGGCAGCTGTGCGGCTTTGTGTTGCATTCAAAGCGCAAAAACACCACCTTTTCACACGCTTCCTCACGCACAACACCACAACACATGTGTGTGTGTGACACGTGTGTGTGTGTGTGTTTGTGTGTGTGTATGTGTGTTTGTGTGTGTGTATGTGTGTGTGTGTGTGTGACACGTGTTCCCACCCACCACAGGCAGCACGGCGTATCTTGGCACCGCCAACGCAGACTACGAGATCTTCTCACCGGGTGTTCCCGTCAGCAGCGGCAGTGACCAGCGCTGCCTGCTTGGGCAACAGCACAAGTTCCTTCGCCGCATCGCTTGCAGGATGTACGTGTGCATACAAACATGTTCGCTTTGCCAGCTGTGGTCGTGGTTCATGCGTGATTGCCAATGACAGCAACCCATACCTCTGCGTCTCCCGTGTCTCCCATTTCCTCAAACCGCCGCCACAACACCAACAACACCTTCCACCATCACCACGACTGTGCCTTATCACTGATCCTCTCATACCCCCTTTGCCAAACTTCCCCTTCCTTTTCTCCTTGTTTGCCCTGCCCGCCAGCTGCTTCAACGGCCTCGACCACGAGCCGAAATACGAGGCAGCGGAGGACCAGGGAACAACAATCTGCAAGTGCACCGCAGCAGACTTTGCCTGGTGAGGGAGAACCCATATCATCGCATTGCTCATACTACACGTCTGCCTTTCACACTCACAGCCGTGT